TTCCTGCCACTTTTGAGAGAGAACTATCTGCAATTCTGATTGAAAAATTTTCTTTACATCTTCTGTAATTTTGGAACATTGAAAAATCTTCACTCATATGATCAGATGCTTCAGAGTCTACCACCCACACTTGTCCTTTTTTTGAAAAAACAGATAAACCAAAAATATTACATTTGTGTGCCACAGAAGCAATAGGTCTTTTCCCATCTCATCAAAAATTACTTCCTCAACCATCACGTGATTTCCTTGATGCTTGTTGGAGGTTTTTGTTTTCGATGTTTTCCACTCACCCGAAGGTAGTTTCCAATCACTTGGCTTGCCGTGAAGCTTCCAGCAATGTTCCCGAGTGTGCCCTAGCTTCCGACAGTGATCGCACCAGGGCCTTGTCTTCTTCATTCGACTGCCAATCGCTCGGGTTGTGAGAGCTGAAGAATTTTCAATCAGATGAAATTGGTTAATCTCTCCCATCATGATCTTCCAACAACTCTCCTCATGTCGAACCTCAGAAAATGCTTCCCGAAGACTCGGCAACGTTCCCGAATCGCGTCGAGATTTTTGTTCAGCCCTAGCAGGAATTTATTTTCTTCCACAAAAGCTCTGAAGTTTTGCGCATCCTCGAGACAGTTCCAGTGACGCTCCTCAAAGGCGTCCATTTGTTGCCAACTTTGACTAAAGATACTGTAATGCTGGGTGACACTAAGTTCTCCTTACTGAAGGTTATAAAGAGTTGACTCGATTTCAAATATTGCAGAGGTATTTTGCTTGCTGAAGTAGAGTTCCTGTGCTGCCTTCCAGATTTCATGAGCAGTTTCATAGAGAAGGAAATTCTTTCCGATTTCATGGGTCACTGAGGTGATAAGGCAGGACATGACCATACTGTCTTCGATCTCCTAGGTTTATGCATTTGCATTGGATGCTGGAGGAGGCACGAGTTCGCCAGTGAGGTGCCCATAACACACTCGTTCGCGGATGAAGAGACGGACAGACGACAACCATTGAAGGAAGTTGCTGCCGTCGAGTTTGTGTCCTGTGATACAAGATGATGGTAGCTCACTCACAGCTTTGGTTGTTGCTGTGTGGTGATAAGAACCAGAGGAAACTTCTGGTGGAGAGGATGGAAGCTCACCTGAGGCCATTTCTGATTACAGCTCAGTAGGGTTTGATTTCTTCTTGGATCAGGTATGCTCTGATACCATGAAGAAAATTGAGAGAAAAATATTCTACTTCTCATTTTCTTGATGAATGATTAACACATATATATACAAATCTGCTGCTTCTAACAACCTAACGAATTCTGGAGAAATCCTAACAAAATTCTAGTTGAGGAGGAAATTTGTTGGTGACACCCTCCATTTACACGGAATGTACAGCTCATAAACAAAAAATAACAGCTATAAATAAATGTATTTAATCCTAATTTATTCTTCTAATTATTTATTTTCTACAATAAAGATACTAAATAATTAAAATAAAGAGCTATATAGGAAAAGTATCACAATTATTTAGGCAACCCAACATTATTGTCAACACTTCCCCTCAAGTTAGTGCAAAAATATCACACATACCCAACTTGCATGTCAGGTTCTGAGGAGTTTTGTTGCAAACTCCTTTAACGAAAATATTAGTCATTTGATTGATAGAAGACACATGATATAAGTATAAGGAGTCATCAACCACTTTCTCTTTTATGAAGTGACGGTAAATCTCAATGTGTTTCGTCCGGTCATGTTGAACTAAATTTTGGTCAATACTAATGGCTGCTTTATTGTCACAAAACAATGACAGACTTCCTTCTTTAAACAGTTCTAATTCCTTCATTAGCTTTTACGACCATCATAATTCACATACCTCTTGAGTCATTATTCTATATTCTTCTTCAGCACTAGAACAGGGAACTACACTATGCTTCTTACTTTTCCATATAACCAAGTTACCTCCAACGAGTATGCAGTAACTAATAGTTGACCTTCCATCATTTGGAAATCCAACCCAGTAGATATCTGTAAATGCTTCTATCTTAAAGTGATCATTTCTAAAAAAGAGTAAACTTTTTCCTAATGTAGATTTTAGATATCATAATATTCGAAAGACAATATGTAAATGAGTTTTGCGAGAATCATGCATGTACTAACTAACCAAATTAATTGCATATGTTATATCTGGTCTGGTATGTGAAAGATAAATAAATTTTCCAACCAATCTTTGATATCTTCCCATATCAACTGACGTACCACTACCAGCTTGTAGTTTGTGATTACGTTCAATAAAAGATTCTGCTGCCTTGCAACCCATCATATTAGTGTCTTCTAATAAATATAAGATATACTTTCTTTGAGAAATGAAGATTTTTTCATTAGATTTGGCAACCTCAATTCCTAAAAAGTACTGCAATTTTCCTATATCCTTAATTTTAAATTCTCGAGCAAGAAATTCTTTTAGTCGAGTCATCTCCTTTGTATCATCTCTAGTCACCACAATATCATCTATATAAACAATAAGAAGAGTGATCTTACCCTCACAATACTTGATGAACACGGTATGATCAACATTACTTCGTTGATATCCGAAAAAAATCATAAGTCCTCTGAACCTTTCAAACCATACTCTTGAAAACTACTTTAATCCATACAAGACCTTCTTTAATTTGCAAATTTTCCTTGCATTTTTTAATCTTCAAATGCAGGTGTAATTTCCATATACACCTCTTCTTCTAAATTCCCATAGATGAATGCATTTTTCACATAAAATTGGTGCAAATTCCAATCAAGATTAGCAGCACAGGATAGTAATATTATGATTTTGTTCATTTTTGCGACTGGAGCAAAAGTTTCATGATAGTCAACTCCATAAATATGAGCAAACCCTTTAGCTACTAATCTAATTTTGTATTTTTCAATTGATCCATCTATTTTGTGTTTAGTGAACACCCATTTGCAATCAATCATCTTCTTTCCATGTGGAGTTGAAACAAGCTCCTATGTTTCATTTTTTACGAAAGCTTTCGTTTCTTCAATCATCACTTTCTTCCATTTGGGATCTCGTAACGATTCTCTCCAATCCAGTGGAATATACACAAAGAAAACAGATAAGAAAAAACTCTATAGGAGAGAAATAGAGAGTCATAAAAAATAAAGTTAAACATAGAATGCTTAGTGCAAGTTCTGATACATTTTCTAAGAGTAATGAGTTTATCAAATAATTCACAAGGAGAAGATGACTCACCAGTAT